AGGAGGAGGAGGAAGAGGAGGAGGGGGACGAGGAGGAGGAGGAGGAGGAAGAGGAGAAGTACCAGGGCAGGACCTCTTGGTGTCCACTTTGTGGAAAACCCACGGCGCCGGAGATTTCTCTGGGCCGAGCGGAGAGGCGCCGCACGAGGGAGGCCGGTCCCGAGGAGAGGCGCCCCTGGACTTCCTCGTCGCCCGTGCCGGCCAACTCTTCCTCCTCCTCTTTCTCCTTCTCTTCGTCCTCCTCCTCCTCCTCCTCCTCCCTCCTCCCTCCCCTCCCCCTCCCTTCTCCTCCTCCTCTCCTCCTCCTCTTCCTCCTCCTCCTCCTCCTCCTCCTCCTCCTCCTCCTCCTCCTCCTCCCCCTCCTCCTTCTCCTTCTCCTTCATCCCCCTCCTTTTCCTCCTCCTCCTCCTCCTTCCCCTCCGCCTCCTCCTCCTCCTCCTCCTGCTCCTCTTCCTCCTCCTCCTCTTCCTCCTCCCCCTCCCCCTCCTCCACCTCCTCCTCCCTTCTGCTCCTCCTCCTCCTCCTCCTCCTCCTCCTCCTCCTCCTCCTCCTCCCTCCTCCCCCTTCTCCTCCTCTCCTCCTCCTCCTCCTCCTCCTCCTCCTCCTCCCACACACACGCATTCATACACACACACACACACACATACGCGCACACACATCGCCCCCCCCCCGTCCTGCCCATGTGCCGCAGCCACCTGCGCGACTTGCTGCGCTGGTCCTCCCTGCCGTACGCAATCTGCCGGGGGCGGGGAGGCCAATAAGAAAACGAGCCGGAAGTCTGTGGAGGCGAAGGTGGGCCTGGAAGGCGCGTGGGGCACAGGCGGAGGGAAACGGGAAGAGGGAGAAGGCAGGACTGGGGGGGGGGGGGGGGGGGAAGACCGTTCTGGCCCTCGTTGGTCGGCACACCCTCAAGGGGTCTAAATGCGATGTCTGCTACATTGTGGTGATAACGGGACGGCGACCACGACGACGACGACGACGGCAACAAGCTGCACGCGCACGAGCCCGTACGACACCACTTGTCGCCCCACCCTCCCCCCAGGAGGCACAAAGGCGATGCCAAACACACTGCGGTGACCATGGGACTCGTCATAGAAAAACACGCCCGGCCCCCCCCCGACAAAAACACTCTGGTAATGAGGTCCTGGCAAGCTGGGCGCGAACTTGCCAGTGCAACACCCCTGGTCCACAGCCCCTCGGGAGGCCCAAGTTTCATGCCTGGCGCCTTGCAGTGATTATAAGGCTCTGAAAAGAAACATGTGTACAGTGGATGCCCGACCACAAGACACGTTTCACAATAATGCCCAATCCTGATACCCCAGGAGGTCCATCGATTTTTGGTGTGGGAATGTCACGCCTTCCAAAGCACAACCTCCGAAACCCAAGAAACCCAAGGCACCCTGGAGGCAAGCAGGGTGCTTGTTGGCATGGGTCTCCACTGCACGTCGAGGAACGGACGTGCTGCCCGAGATGCCCCGACAGCCTGCGCGCGAACGGGCCCGTGCAACACCCCTGGCTGACACCCCCCCGGGAAGCACAACTGCGATGCCGGCTAGCTGCGCGGTGATCGTAGGGCCGATCGTAACGAACGTCATTCACGAGATAGCGATCGTAACGAACGTCATTCCTGATATATTCACGACATAACGATCGTAACGGACGTCATTCACGAGAGGACGATCGTAAATGACGCCACTAACGAACAGAAGCACGTGCACGATCGTAACGAACGCCATTCCCGAGATAGCCCGGCAACCTGAGCGCGAGCGAGCCCGTGCAACCGCGCTGGTCGGCGCCCCCCTCGGGAGGCCCAGGGGAGGTGCCTGGCAGATCGGACTGGTATTGGATTCCAACGCGGGTCTGTTACTATAGAAAGGGTCGCGAAACAAACGTTGAAACACAGTTTCTGCCCATCTGTGCATACGCGGTCTGGCAAAGCGGGGCGGCATCAACGCGACACCGAGGAGCGTCGTGGGCTCGAGCCTCTGGCCTGGTACATAGAGCTGTGATCAGAAAGACGCTTTCGTCATGAAGCGGGCGCTCAGCCAAAGAGGTTCCGACAGTGTGGGCGCGAACGGGCCCATGCGACCCCCTTGGTCGACAATCCGCTGGGAGGCACAAGCGCGATGCCTGATACATGGCGGTGATCAGAGGGCTCCGGAAAGAAGCGCGCCTACGTCAGAAGACTGGGGTTCTACCGAAGAGGTCACGCCAATCTGGAGGAGAACGGGCCTAAGCACCATCCCTGGTCGACAAACCCTTGAGAGGCACAGGTGCCATGGCCGCCACATCGTCGCGGCCATGGGGCTCTCAAACGGAACACTTCTACGTCCCCCACGAAAGAATCCTATCTGAAAGGTCCCGACAATCTGGGCGCGAATGGGCCCGTGAGGCACCCGCAGTCCACACCACCTAGGAGGGCCCAAGTGAGTGAGTCTGCGCATGGATGACTCGGTGTGAGTCCGTGTGTAATCCTGGGTGCGAGTTGGCATGAGAGTGCACCAATAGCATTGAGAGTGAGTCTGGGTGCAAGTGAGTCTGCATATCAATACATACGATGAGATTGAGCGGGTGCGACTATGAGGGAACCCGAGCCGGAGTGAGTGAATATCAATGAGCTTGAGTGTAAATGTTTGTGGGCAGGAGTGCGGGTGAGTGTGAACCAGTCTGAATGGTAGTGGGTCTGAGTATGACCGGTTCTGAACATGAGTGGGTCTGAATCTAAATGAGACTGAGTATGGGCCAGTCTGAAGGCAAGGTTCAGGAGGTGGGTCGGGAGGCGGAGGAATCACACGAAGAACAATCACCTATTACCCCGGATCCGCCACAGTGCCCCGTTGTACTTTGAGGCGTGGTGAATGCAAAGTGCTGTCTGGCGGGTCCTCTGAAGGTCTTTTAAGGGGGTCCCCCTCCCTCTCCCAACAGCTCCTAGCGCCTCGCCGCGTGCATTGCCCCCTTCGCCCGAGGGTACTTGGACGCACCGACGCGTCCCTGGTGCTCTCCAAGGCGTCGACGATACCCAACACAGCCAAGGCAGGCCACCAGGGCCACCGAGATGACCCAATATTGTATAAAGACAGCCGAGGGTGACACCATGACGACCAACATGGCCTCGATACGGCTTAAGAGGGTACCAAGACGGCCCAAGCGAGCTCCAAGAGGACAGCCCGGGAGGGCCCGGGGCCCGGCAACCAAAATCAGTGCTATGTGCTTCCCGGAGGAGTTTGAATAATCTCCGTGTTCTCATCGCTCCAGGCATCAGTCAGCTCAAAGCGGTCCAATAGGCCTCCAAGATGACCCCCCAGACGTCTGAACAGGCCCCGAAGAGGGCCCGAGACAGCCCCACGAGGGCGCCGAGACGGCCCAAGAGGCCACCAAGATGGCACCAGCACGGCCCGAAAGAGTCCCAAGACGGCCCAGAGAGGCCCCAGATACGCACTGCGTGCCACAGCTTACCGTTAGGTCGGGCATGTCCCCCTACAGGCGGATTTTGGAGGCAAAGTTCAACATAGCCAAACAAACATTCCAAACATACAATCAAAATTAGCAAAACAAATCGTCCCCTGACTTTTTTACTGTAGAGGGACACGACCGACTTGAGCTCACGGCATTCCCAAGCCTCGAACACGGAGTCGCAGTTGCGGCCCCCCGTGTGCTTCTCGAACAAACCGTCGCCCAGAGTGCTAACGGACACGGTGGCGGGACTTGCCGCAGGCAGCTGGGCATGGGCAAACAGCGCGCGCTAGAATACTCCGGGTTTCTTCATGAGCGTGCGGGGGGTACCCCCCCGAAGGGGGTCGACCTCGCCTCGTCGTCGCGCCGCGACGGGAGGTCGGAGCGCCTTCGGCGCGCGGCGGCTGCCCGCGGCGGGGGGTCGATATGGGGGGCTGTCGTCGGGGCTGACGCACCCCCGGCGCTTATTCAGGAACTCGGCCTAGGCATGTGCGGGAAGATGAGACGGATGAAGCAGGCAGGTGTCGGGGGCGCGCAAACACGGATTCGCGATCCATGGATTTGGCGCGCGGTCGCCAAATCCATGGATCGGGGAAGGTGCCCTCCCCAAAATGCGGCCGGTGCCGCCTTGCTCGGCGGCGGAAATCCGCAAATGGAAACGGGACCCGTCGCTAATCCACGCCCCCTTGACCCATGTTTGCGATCGCCTGATGGTGCTCTCGCCAAGAAGACGAGAAGCCCAACGTCGCAGGGATGCGGGGGAAGCACGAGAAGGCCAGCGAGATGCTGGGCGCGCGACTCGTGCCTCCCGCCCTTCCCCCCGCTGGCCTCGTACTGCATCTTGACCTCCAGGCGCTTCCTGCGGCGCATCCTCCGGCTCTGCTCCTTCGTGACGCCCCGCGCGATCTCCCGCTGGCGGCGCAGTGTCATCGCCTGTTGGCGGCGAGCGAGGGGGGAAGTGAGAAGGCGGAGGCCTTCTCAGAAGGCGGCGGGACTTCTCAGGAGCCCTCGCGCCTTCTGAAAGGTTTGTTTCTGTCCTCCAGGAAGGCTTAGGAAACTTCTCAAAAGGCCGGGGGACTTCCGAGCCTTCTGAAAAGGCCAACTCCTTCTCACTCCCCCCCCCTTTACCAGGCTCGCTGCTGACCCTGGCGAAGGGAGAATTTCCTGATCTTCGCGGACGGCGCACGGTAGAAGATAAGATTACGTGCCGCGGAGGGACGCCCATCGCGGGGCGGCTGGAAGGTTCATGCCCCCACGTGCTAGGTAATGAACTTCCCAGCGGTCCTGAGGCAGGCGCCCTCCGCAGCGGAGAGCACTGCTGTTAATCTGCTCACGGGCGCAACGGGTTCAAGACGAATCCCTGACCGACCTGACATGATGCCACCAAGGCCTTGCATGAGGCATCTGCCGCATGAACTCAAACACAATTAATCTCAACAATCGAACCTGTGGGATTATACCGGAAGGCCCTCCCCTCTTCCATTCCCATCCGCTCCCCAACCCCCCTTCCGCCCATCCCCGCCCCCACTCCCTGCCCCCCTTCCCCCCCTCCGCCCCCCCTCCCCCCTCCCCCTCCCCGCTCCCCCTCCCTGCTCCCCTCCACCCCTCCCCGCCCTCAACCCCCTCCTCCGCCTTCCCCCGCTCCCCCCCCTTGCCTCCCCTCATCGCCCGCCCCTCCAGTCCCACCGAGTTCAAAAAAAAACATCTGCAGGCCGGGAAGGCCCCAGGGTCTGCAAGGTCTGGGGCTCGATTCCCCCAGAGCTCTTGCAATCGTGGCGAGAGCCCTTCTCCCCATAGCCAGCTTTGGAAACCCTGGGGGCATCGATGTTGACCTCTTCTGGGGTGTGTGCCTTTGCTTCCATCGAGCTTCCGCTGGTAGCTCAGCCACATGTTTGCTTCCGCCAGGTTTCCACCGAGGGCAAGAAGTCCACCCTTCGATTTCCCAACAACGAAGCAAATCTTTCGAACACCCTTCATGCTGAGCCCGGTACCCTGGCGATCGTCTTCTTGATCTTCCTGAAGAGGTGCCGCTGGATGCCTTGCTGTGAGTGCAGGGGGGTGAGCTTAGGTCGAGCATGTCCCCCTACGGGCGGATTTTGGAAAAATGAAAATACTCAAAACATAACCCAAAATGGTCAAACATAGTAGAACAATCGTCCCCCGACAATTGTTTGACTACTGTTGAATATTCCTCGTGTAGAGGGACAGGCCCGACTTCAGGGTACGCAAAAGAGGAGGGGGAGGGTACGGCCAGGAGGAAGCACGACGGGCCCCTCCGTTCCTCCCCCCAGGAAACTAGGCGACGTCGCTCGACTTTGCATCTGTCCTGCCTGCTTGTTCGTGCCAATGGGCCTTTCTGTTTCCTCGTCTCCCCCCTCTCCCCTGACCCTCCCCCCTTCTCGCCCGTCTCCCGTTCCCAATCCCCCAACCCCCTCCCGCCCATCCCCCATCGCCAATCCCCGCCGTGGTCTCCCGTCCGCGTTCTCGTTCGCGCGGCTCTCCATCTCCCCTCGCTCACTCAAGCTGTAAAGACACACATCCGTCACCTTCAACTGCACTTCTCAGTGCCACACTCATGACCCGTATAGATGTCTCCCCGGTCCCCCTCCCTGTCCTCCTCCCTCCTCTCCTCCGAATGACGCCTGCAAGAGCTTGGCGGCGCGTAGCATGAGGAGACCGAATCACCCAGCACCCGTGTTGCTTCACATATGACCGGCCGGCACGTCACAGCACCCCGGGACGAAACGCTTGTCCTCGAGAAATTGATGAATGAGAGACCCGTAGACGTCGTACGCCAAACCCGACAGGCAACCAAGACTGTGCAATGAGGACGTCGGTGTTTGAACTCGCGGCTTTACTCCTGGCAACCCTGCACGCCAAAGCGAAGTTCGCTCAACCGTACCAAGGCCTTCCTCGGAGAACCCCCAGCGAGAAAAGGCACGACTGCGAGCTCCAATGCGCTGCACGGGCCCACTAGACACAAGCGTGCAGCTCTGGAGAGATGACCTGTTTGTCGCAGGCACTCCGTAAGCTTGCCGAGGGAGCCCTGACGACCAGGCTCCCGAAGCCAGCGGACTGCGCCGTGCCGTGTGACCGCCATGCGCAGCACACGTTGCGGAGGTCGAGTAAAGTGGCAAGGAGTCGTCCGTGCCGAAAGTCTCCACCAGCAAGATCAAAGCCAGCAGACTGCGCAGTGCCGTGTGACCGCCATGCGCAACACACGCTGCGGAGGCAGAGCCAAAGTGGAAGGGACTTGCCCATGCCGAACGTCTCGCCGCCTCCTCCTCCTCCCCCTCCTCCTCCTCCTCCTCCTCCTCCTCCTCCTCCTCCTCCTCCTCCTCCTCCTCTTCCTCCCCCTCCCCCTCCCCCTCCCCCACCTCCTCCTCCTCCTCCTCCTTCTCCTCCTCCTCCTCCTCCTCCTCCTCCTCCTCCTCCTCCTCCTCCCCTCCGTCTCCTCTTCCCCCTCCCCCTCCTCCTTCACCCCCTCCTCCTCCTTCTCCCCCTCCTCCTCCTTCTCCTCCTCCTCCTCCTCCTCCTCCTCCTCCTCCTTCTAAGCAGCGACGACCGCCGCTCCCGCAAGGCTGCAAGCTTGGCGAGATCTGTGGTCCTGAGGAGGGCCCGCGCGCACAAAGAGAACTCGCTTCTCGGCACCAAATTAGAGGCCTCCTAGATGGGGTCCGAGTCGCTGGGGTCGGAAGATCGCACTGCACCGCCGATCCATCGCCGATGCAAAGGCGATGTATCCGCGACGTCGACGATGCACCCGCGACGTCGGCGTGGGGAAAACTGGGCTCCACATCGAGCCGCATCGCCGATGCATCGACGATGTATCCGCCATGCGGCGCGATCCTCCGACGCCAGCTACTCCGACTCCAGATGGGAGGCCTCGACAGGCGGAAGGAATGTTTGGTTAGCGGCCGCGGGCCCAGTCGGGGGCGGCTGGCTAGCATGTGGCATACGCCAGCGAATTCGGCCCAACACTGCGAGGCGGTGATCGATCTTCGGGGGCCTCGACAGGCTGTGACTATGGACATCGCTGGCCCTGGGCTGGGCCCGAAGCTGTCCATATTCGCTGGCGTGGTGCGATGCAGCGTTGCTGGCGAGTCTGGTCTGCGGATCTGCGTGCGCTCTTTCGGGAAGCATTTGTCTGTGCGGCCCACTGCCCATTGAAACAATGGCCTGTCGCACACATCGGAATCCGGACCACACCTAGGTTTAGGCCGGGCATGTCCTCCTGCAGGGGGATATAGGAAAAAAACAAAACTTAGTCAACACTATTCAAAAATACTCCAAACGTCCCCATACTATTTCTAGACTATTCTTAAATGTTCCTCCTGTGGAGGGACATGCCCGACTTAAACCTACGTCCCCTACAAGACTTCGCGCATCGCGCCCCGCGGTGTGCGGCGCGCGGTTATCTCCGCGCCCTCGCGATGCCACCTCGGAGAAGAGTAGCTCTCAGGCCCAGGCCGCGACGCTCGAAGCAAGCGAATTTTCGCACTCCTGGGGGTGGCCTGCTTAAGATGTCCGCAGCCGAGCCGCGGCATGTGGCGCGCGCCTGCGTGGCCGTCTTCTTCCACGTGCGCCCCACGGCCCAGGAAGAGCACATGGGTGAGCACACCGCCGCCGAGGCATCCATTGGCAGGCGGATCAGCGCGCCCCGTGGCATCCCTCGTGGGCGGCCTGGCCACACCGTGAGGCCGCCAGAGAGAACTTGAAGGAGACAGCCGAACTCGAGCTTAAGAACCCAGTCGACGATGCTACCGTCCACACTGTCGGTGGTGGTCATCATGCGTAACGTTCTCAGACAAGATAAAGATACCAAGGGCACACGCGGCTGAAAGTATCGTTGATTGTCTCGAGGCACTTGACTTTTTGACGTAACTCGGGCTTGAGTTTGAAAGACGCTGGAATCTCATACGTCATACATAGCGCCGTCCTCTGCAGCCCAACTTTTGGACAATCACAGCATAGACGCCGAAGAGAAGGTAGGGGATGGTCCCAGGACTTGAACGCCTGATTTCTCCGCAGCCTCGTGTGGGTCTGCGAGGCTCCAGTTCGGAAAATCCCACCAGCCTTCTGGGCGTAGGTGGTCTATCGCGGTTCCTCTTCCACCCCTCCCTCTTCCCCTCCGGGGAGGGGATTACAACTGTTCCCTATTAACAAACACCCTCCTTTCCCCAGGCGGCTGGTAGCCAACCAGGAACCATGAGGGCCCCCCACAATCCCTTGTAACAAACCATGCGAAACACTCTCTGCCTTCAAATTCAGAGCATGCGCAGCCAACCCGATGCGGCCTCCCCCCACCATTCCTATCAAAAACAAATGCAGAGTACACTTGGCGGCGGCGGCGGCTGCGGCGGCTGCAGCCGCGGCGGCGGCTGCGGCGGCTGCGCGGGGCGGCGGCGGGGGCGGCGCGGCGGCGGCGGCGGCTGCTGCGGCGGCGGCGGCGGTAGCGGCGGCGGCGGCGGTGGCGGCAGCGGCTGCGGCGGCAGCGGCTGCGGCGGCGGCGATTTGGCAGCGGGGGCGGCGGCGGCGGCGGCGGCGGCGGCGGCGGCGGATTGGCCCCCAGTAGCTGCCCATCCATAGACGACTGCTGAATATGCCGAGGCTCGGGGGCCAGACGCGGGTGCTACGCATGTGTTGGGAGGGCGGGTGGGAGTGAGCGAGACGGCTTGCGGGCGGGGAGGGAGTCTTGACCCCTCCCCCTTACCCCCTCTCCTGGACCTGGAGGGGTGGGGTCGCGGGCCGTTGGAGCGTCCAAGATGGCCCAAGATGGCTCTAGGAGGGCCTCAGAGAGCCCAAGATGACTTCTAAGATGGTTAAAGGTAGCCCAAGATGGCTCATTATGGCCCCCAAGATGCTCCAAAGGGCCCTAAGACCGCCTCAAGACTGCTCCGAGTGGCCACGGAGCCTCCCCAAGACAGGAGGCCGCCACGAGGCCAACATCCATCAAAAACCTAAGGAACATCAGTGAATGTTGCCGCCTTCTCGCCTTTTCGCTTCCGATGGCCTTCCGAGGCCTCAAGACAGCTCCAAGAGGGCCCATGAGGGCCCCGAGAGAGGCCCAAGAAAGCCCCAAGACGGCCCCCAAAGCGCCCAAGAGCGCTCCAAGCAAGAGCGCCCCAAGAGGAGGCGATCTTTAGGGCTCCCGAGGGGGGAACGTAATTCGAGCTCGCATGTTTGTTGATCGATCTCCTCCAAGATGGTCCCAATAGCGGTCCCAAGGTTCCCAAGAACGTCTCAAGAGGGCCGCAAGAGGCGCCCAGGAGGCCCCAAGAGGCGCCCGCCAAGAGACCACCAAGAGGCCCCAAGAGGCTCTCCGAGGCACCCAAGACGCTCCAGGAGGCCTCCAAAGATCTTCCAAGAGACGTCCGAGGAGACTCTGCGAGGCATTCACGGAGGTGCAAGGGAGGCCCAAGAGAGCCCCAAGACGGCCCCAAGAGCGCCCAAGCGTGTCCCAAGAGCGCTCCAAGAGGGACCCTTCCTCTGTGTGTTTGCAACTGCTTGCGTCAACATCCACGCCGTCAATACCCTCGGTATCGAGGCGACTCTTGTGAACGGCTTGGGGGCAGCGGATACGGGCAATGGCTCGGACAACATGAGGGCCTTCGTCTGAGGCCGCCGTCCAAACACACCATTGGGCATCGCGAAGATTTTGTGAAACACGATGGACTCGCGGATCACCATCTCCATCAACACGAAATTCGATACCCCACTTAGGATCAGAGCCGCACACCTCCGGCCCCAACTCATGCTAATGCGCTCGGAGCCCACGGAGTACGAACTGGCTTGGGATGACATTATCGCTCAGGATGGCTTGGCAGCTCTGGAGAGCTGCGGGCAGGAGGGGATGCAGCTGGACTCTCCTGACCCACCACCGTCCCGCATACCACCACGTACAGTGGGATCATAATGACATCCTTCACGAACATGAGACCGTCCGTCGGCCAAAACAAACAGAACGTCCAAGGGTGCCCTCCCCAGGATGCACATGAACATCCAACAAGCACGAAGAACACCAGGATACCCTTCCCGAGCCGACCTCTCGGGGATCTTCTGACCCGAGTCAATCTAGACCCAGGTCAGTCAGTCCTTGCAAAATCCTGCAAGATCCTGCGCCTAAGCCCGGGTCAATGCGAAGGATCCTGCAGCATCCTGCAGGATCCTGCACCCAAGCCCGGGTCAATGCGATGGCCCTGCAGGATCCTGCAAGATCTGGCGCTCTGGCTGACCCATGTCTGCATTGACCCCCGTCTCTGGAGCCCCGAACCTCGATCCGATACCTCGGTCCGGCCGTCCTGCACGAGACAGGTCTGTTGAACGACCCCGATGCCTCTCTCTCTATCTCTCTCTCTCTCTCCGTTCCCCTCCCCCTGCGCGCCTCCCGGCCGCTCCGCGCCTCTCTGCCTCCCTGCGCGCCTCGCTGCCTCCATCTCTCTCCCTCTCTCCCTCTCCCTGCCTCTCCGTGCGCCTCGCCGCCTCTCTGTGCGCCTTTCCGCCTCTCTCTCTCTCTCTCGCTGCTCTCTCGGGCGCCGGCCTTACGTCGATAGACGAGGACCGTTGTTTGTTAAGAAGCAGGGGTGCTTCAAAGAAGCCTTCCCCCCCTCCCCCCACATCCCTCCTCGAAATCAAGCGAGCATTCTTCCCGCGACGTGGCGGCGCCCCCAGGGCCCCAAAGATTTCAACGTTCGCACCAAAGCTGGCGACTGCAAACACAAAATTCTGACCCCGTGGGCCACGTTTCGCGCGTGGATCAACATTGAAAGCTTGCGTCTGATTTCGAGGAGGGTTGTACACCCCGCGGCGCGTGGCCGATCTCTGCCTCTCCCTCTGCGCGGGGCTCCGTCGGCGAGTCCCCGAGGCAGCGGAGGGCGTTCCGGCCCCGGCACCAACACCGTCGATGCTTCGCCCTGGCATCAACGGTGCGCCGTCGACGCACCGCATCAGCCCCTCGAGGTCGAGGTTTTTCCCACCCTTCTGCCCAGCCGTTCCCCCCAGATCGTTGCCCCCCGAGAGGCAGCGGCGGGCAGGTCGGCCTGGCATCTCGGCCGCAACCTGCATCCTGAGGCGGAGCAGCGCGCGCTTTCCTGGCCAACGGGGGGGGGGCGCGGCGGGCCCCCGGGTGCCCGGGCCTCCGGCGCCGTGCCTCCTTCGTGCGGGCCGCTGGAGGTCCGTCGGGCGTTGCCTGGTGGGGGGCAGGGGTCGACCCCACACAGGTCTTCTCGTGCTTGCCCTGTGCTCGCTTCCCTCGTGTTGTGCCGCATCCGCCCGTGCTGCAGAACGAGGTCGAAGCGAGAGCGGCCCCCGAAATCGCGGCCCCGGGTCGCCCAGCACGGCCTCCAGGCGGACCCAGACGCCCCCGAGACACCCCTGGACCTCCCCTCTTGCTCTCCTCTGTGCCACCATCACACTGGACGCCCCCACAAACCATCGGAAACAATCTGCACTCAAGGGGGGTCGGCGGATGTGGCGTAAGCCTGTAGAATCGCCAGAACACCGCTCAGGTCGAGCCTTATATTGCTCCCATCGTACTTAAGGACCACATCCCGGAAATAATTTCGAGCACCCTGAAAAGTGTCGAAAGAGTGTCGAAACAGTGTGGAAACAGTGTCGGACGAGTGTCTCCCAGGGCCCGACACGTGAAACCCCTCGAGTTTGTCTGTACTTTTCTGGTGCTCGGAATTCTTCTTGGTGATCAAGGCTAAAGTAGGTTGGAACATCATAAATCGAGCCCTGACGGGGGGGGATGCGTGTCGGGGGGGGGGGGTAACCGTGCACCGCTCGTGCCCCTCTTGGGCTCTTTGGGTCTCCTGAGCTCCCGGGAGCGTCGAGATGCCTGGGGGAGCTTCTATCGCCGACCGCTGGCAGCCCCCTGAGCCAATACCCAACTGGCACTGTCCACCCTACTGAGGCTGAGCACCGTCCAATGCAAGCCCCAGGGCTGCCCGGGACCCCGCGCACCGAAAGCCACGCTCCGCAATCAGTCACACCCTAGTGCTCGCCACCGCCACTGCTGTGGCCAACTGATCACCCGCGTCATCCGCGCGGTCCGAAGTACGAGAACAGCGCCCATGCGCCGTACCATGTCTGGACTGCCCCTGGGGCCGTACGGCTCCGAAGCAAACCTCCACCCTGTAAAACTAACAGGCCGTTCGAGACATCCCCACAATCTGGGCGTGAACGGGCCCGAAACACACCCTTCGTGGGCAGAGCACCGGCCCGCATCACCAGGCACGATCGAGCCGAGTCCAGCCTTGGCGACGAGAAGTCTCCCGAGAGCATTGAAAACAATATTACTTGTCTGGCAGCAATGCGAGCATGATCCTTCCTCCTCCTCCTCCTCCTCCTCCTCCTCCTCCTCCTCCTCCTCCTCCTCCTCCTCCTCCTCCCTCTCCTCCTTCGCTTTCCACTCCTCAACGGTTGCTCGGAATTGCGGGGACGTCCCATGCGAGACTGGCTGGACCCCTCGCACGAGGCATCTATTTGCCCATCATTGCGGGGACGTCTCATGCGAAACAGACAGGATCACCTCGCGGGCGGCACCTTGAAGCCTGCCTCAAGCGAAGAGGCCGAGGCAACCTCAGGTCACGATACCCCCGAGCCCCGAGCCCAGAAGTTCTGAGGATGTTTCAAACGATATGGTCCAGACCGCCTCTCGCGTATCGTGTGGGAGCCCAGAATTGCGAGGATGTCTCGAGCGAAACGGGCCAGACCATGTCAAATCTGGTCCTCTCGGAGCGCAGACTTGTGAGGATGTCTCGTGCGCAATGGGCCGAACCACCTCAGCATGTTGCCAATGTCTCGACACGCGGGCCCCTCGGGCGGCATTCATTCTTACCGCCAGAATGCCGCCCAGCACCGGCCGGGCGACCGGGGAACACTCCAAGACAAAACCTATGGAACGGAAACTTCTCTCTCTCTCTCTCTCTTTCTCTCTCTCTCTCTTTCCCACCCTTTGTCGCGCTCACTCCTTCCGCCACTGTTCCTCTCCCTCTCCCCCTCGGCCCAGTGAGTCACACTGGCCCCATCGCGACGGCCTTGGGACGGGGTCCTGAGATAATGACGTTCTCTATCTCCTGGTCGAACTTGAGATCCTCCTCGGTCATGCTCGTCCGGAGCACCTCGATGTGCTCGAAGGTCTCTCGCGCCTGGGACGGCAGAAATGCTGCTGGCGGCTGGAAGGGGCAAGAGGGGGAACTGCAGTCGGGCTGCTACCACATGGAACGCCAATCATTGAGTCGGGCCTGTCCCTCTACAGGGGGGAAATCAAAAAATACCCAAAAAATAGTCCGGGGACTATTTTTTGACTACTTGTTGACCGTTTTCGGAGCATTTTTTGAGTCTTCTTTATTTTTCGTCGAAGTTCCCCCTGTAGGGGAACACGCCCGACTTAAGCCAACCAGGAACCGAGGCCCCTTCCTGGCCCCACGGAGCGCCTGGATACCCGAGGGGCGCTGGAGGAGCAGCCAGGGCAGGACCTGAGGAACAGGCGAGCCCCGACCGAGCCCGAGCTGATCCTTCTCCGGCGCCTTTGAAGGGGCGCCAGGACACACAAACAAATACACACAAATAGCAGGATTCCCAATATTTTTCAATATTTTCTGGGTTCTCGTCTTCCCCCTCACTTCCCATATTTTCCCATATTTTCTGAGGGATCGACGATTAATTGTGTCTGTGTGTTTTTTCCCCTCCTGATGGATGCCCGAGGGGCGCTGGAGGAGCAGCCAGGGCAGGACCCGAGGAACCGGCGAGCCCCGACCGAGCCCGAGCTGATTCTCCGGCGCCTTGACTTGTCCCCCTACAGGGGGATTTTGGGCGAAAAACTAAAAAAATTGTAAAAATGCCCCCAGAATGCTGAGAAATAGTCAACAAATAGTTCCCATGGCTATTTTTGCATATTCCTCCTGTAGAGGGACAGGCCCGACTTAAGCCTTGACTGTGCAGCCTCCGTCCTGCCAGCAGAAGCGCAAGACACGGACGGGGACAACACGACGTTTCAAGCCACGGCGGGCCTGGACCACAAACGGGCTCCACGACAGAGTCGGAGGAACGGCCCGAAAACCCGCGGCCCTCCAGAGCCCGAACCGGTCCCTATCCCAGCTCCCCGCCCAAATTCGATGAGAATCCCGATCGTTCGGGTCAGAATTACAGGGACGACCACGTGGTTTCGAGATCGGATTTGAAAGGCCACATCAGAAGAAGGGCAGTTGCCGGTTCGAAGCGCCCAATCTGGCGTGGCCAGTCTGGGCAGGACGGCGAGGGGCGGGCGGTGCAGCGCCCAGCGAGGACGGCGAGGAGGAGGGGCAGGGAGACGAGCAGAGAAGGGCCGGGGGAAGGACTCGGAACGAGGAGACGGCGGAGGTGGGAAGGGGTGGGTGGGTGAGGGGGGAGGGGGGGAAATGGAGGGAGGCGGGGGGGGGAACGGAGAGAGAAAGAGGAGGACGTGACGATGAACGCAAGCGGGAGACTACCAGAGTAGAGGAAAAGAGGAGGCGGAGGAGGAGGACACACCGACACAGAAGCAGACACAGACAGAGGGACACAGAGGCACAGTTCCACAGAGACGCACGCGGACACAGGGACACACGCAGAGACACAGAGACCGAGCGACACTCAGGCACACAAACACACAACACATACACACACACTCGCCCCAGTGCAAGAGGGGCCTGGTGGCAAGAAGAGGAACAGGAGGAGAGGGGGACTGGGAGAGGGGACTCCGTCGTGCAGGGCCAGGTGCATGCGAGCGCCCGCCCGCCCGTTCAGCCGCGCGGCCCGCCCCGCCGCGGCGCGCCGCCGTCCGGCGGGGCCCGCCGTCTGCAGGCCCACGCACACACACACACACACTCACACACACACACACACACACACACACACACACACACACACACACACACACACACACGCACACACACACACAAAAAAAAAAAACTGAAAAAGGTGAGGATGGTTGGGGAAGTGCGGAGGAGGAAACGATTGAGCACCGATCCCAGCCACGGCGCTCCCGGCTTTCGACACTCAGCGCTCGTAGAGCACAGCGCCGAGAACCACACTGGACCGCCAACTGCGCTGCCACGACAAGATGACGGACAACGCTGGTGTACGTAGCCCCCCGCAGCTGTGGAGAAGAGCGAGGGGGCGGCGGGGCCGTCGGCCATCTGCGAAGCTCTGAAGAAGCTCGCCGCGGGCGCCTGATTTTAATGTGTATTTATTTCTTTTTTTTTCTAAAACAACATCGAGCTCGCCGCAGGCGCCGATCTTTTCGTTGAGGCAATGTGGGTCGCAGATGGATCGCGGGCCGTCGCGGGTGAGTCGAACGTGGGCCGCGGGTGGATCGCGGGTGGGTCGCGGGCCGGGTCGCCGGGGAGACGAGAACAAACAACAACAACAACAACAACAACAACAACAACAACAACAACAACAACAACAACAATTACTAGCACGTGGGGACACTCCGTTCTCACCAGTGCCAGGGTTTTCATAGGAGGCGGGCAATACCCCCACTTTGTGGGGGGGCCGGTTCAAGCTCTACCAAATTTCCAAACGACTCTTCGCCACCACCCACACCCAGCTTCCCGCCCTATGACGTTCGGACACTTCACTTCGTGGCATGCGGACGACCGTGGCTACTATTCAGGGCCCCGCGGCCGACGACGACGGCGTGCGCGCGCGAAGAAAAAACGAATGTGTCCCGCATGGTATTATTTGACAGGGATGATGGCCCTGGCAGGTGCGCAACCGTTGTTGCAGAAGTTTGAAAAAGTTGCTCGCAAAAGCCCGTTTGACAGAAATGTTGAAAAAGTGTTGGGTTTCCTACGAATCCGCAAGAGCGCGCGGGATGAGATTTTGACATTTTTTTTTGAAAAACCATTGGTTTTTTGATGTTTTTATGTTAAAATCGCTACGAAAACTAAGGTTTTGGAAGGATTTCGTCTTGCGCGCGCGAATGTCCACTTTACCTTATTTTTTGCAAGGGATTCTTGAAGTTTGGTTATGTTAGAACAAGAAATGTCCACTTTAGCTTTTTTTGCAAGGGAAAACCGGTAAACAAAACAACCGGATCCGGACCAACCCGTTTTGCCTGAGACTTCCTCACGAAAATGATGAAAATGTGGCTGCGGCCTAGGCGCGGCGGGGGGGCCATGCACCAGGGGCCCCAACAATAATTATTCTTTAGAAGTAATAATGTTCAACAACAACAACAACAACAACAACAACAACAACAACAACAATTACTAGCACGTGGGGACACTCCGTTCTCACCAGTGCCAGGGTTTTCATAGGAGGCGGGCAATACCCCCACTTTGTGGGGGGGCCGGTTCAAGCTCTACCAAATTTCCAAACGACTCTTCGCCACCACCCACACCCAGCTTCCCGCCCTATGACGTTCGGACACTTCACTTCGTGGCATGCGGACGACCGTGGCTACTATTCAGGGCCCCGCGGCCGACGACGACGGCGTGCGCGCGCGAAGAAAAAACGAATGTGTCCCGCATGGTATTATTTGACAGGGATGATGGCCCTGGCAGGTGCGCAACCGTTGTTGCAGAAGTTCGAAAAAGTTGCTCGCAAAAGCCCGTTTGACAGAAATGTTTAAAAAGTGTTGGGTTTCCTACGAATCCGCAAGAGCGCGCGGGATGAGATTTTGACATTTTTTTGTTGAAAAACCATTGGTTTTTTGATGTTTTTATGTTAAAATCGCTCCGAACACTAAGCTTTTGGAAGGATTTCGTCTTGCGCGCGCGAATGTCCACTTTACCTTATTTTTTGCAAGGGATTCTTGAAATTTGATTATATTAGAACAAGAAATGTCATTTTATAGTGTTTTTTGCAAGGGAAACGGATTACAACAAAACAACCGGATCTGGATCACATCGTTTTACCTGAGGCTTCCTCACGAAAATGATGAAAATGTAGCTGCGGCCTAGGCGGCGCAGGGGGGGCGCGCACCAGGGGGCCCAACAATAATTATTCTTTAGAATAAATCATGTTCAACAACAACAACACCAACAACAACAACACCAACAGCAACAACAAAGCAACAACAACAACAAAAACAGCAACAGCAACAACAACAGCAACAGTCACTTTACCCTCACGCGCGATGTTTCCACGCGAAGCATGCGACCATCACGATAACCATCCCCATCATGGAAGACTGTTGTTCTTTAGCGGGGTCCGTTATTCCCATTCCGAGATCCCTCGCCCAATGAGGTCTTGCAAACACTTCCTCCGAGGAATCTTAACACTTCCGCCTCGAAAACGCATGCCCGCGCCTTGCTGCGCCGATGCGAAACCGCCAGCGGAGCCCCAGCCAGGGGTAAAGCACAAGGAAGTATCGAGCGACAGGATTGCCTTGGTGGGGATGGGGGCTGTCGGCGGCGAGGCAAGAACCTGGCCCTGAATAGAGAGGGAAAAAGTCTCGAGCAGGGCCGCTGTTGTTGCTGGGAGCGGCGCCAATGCTGAAGAGAGTAGGGCGCTGGTCCAGCGTAAAACAAAACGAAGTCTCGAGCGGGAATGCTGGTTTTGTTGGGACGGCGGTTGTCGGCGGCGAGGAGGAACACCGCCTTGAGTAAGGGAGGAAATCTCGAGCGGGAACCATGGTTTTGTCGGGACGGGGGCTGTCGGCGGCGAGGAACAGCACCGTCCTGAGGAAAACGGGAGGAAGCCTCGAGCGGGAGCGTTGTTCTTGCTGGGAGCGGCGCCAAGTCAAAAGAGAGTAGGGCGCCAGACCAGCGTAAAACGGGAGGAAGTCTCGGGCGGGAGCGCTGGTCTTGTCGGGGCGGCGGTTTTCGGCGGCGAGGAGAAGCACCGCCTTGAGAAAAAAAGGGAGGAAGCCTCGAGCGGGAGCGTTGTTGTTGCTTGTGGCGGCGCCGATGAGAGAAAGAGTAGCGCGACAATCCAAGGTAAAACGGGAGGAAATCTCGAGCGGTAGCGCTGGTTTTGTCGGGACGGCGGCTTTCAGCGGCGAGCAGGAGCGCCGGCCCTGAGCAAAAAAGGAGGAAGTCTCGAGCGGGAGGGGTTTGGGCGCCCCCCCAGACCGCTCGAGCGTGAGCCTCATTTTCAATGAAAACGTCGCCAGCGCCGAGGCGAGAGCACCAAAGCGCCTGGGGGGGGATCCAACAATAATAACTGTTTGGCAATGAACATTCAACAACAACAACACGAACAACAAAACTATCAGTTTAATACTGATCGCTCTTACTGGCACGCGTGTCGATACACGCCCACTTAGTCTTCGATTGTACCCCCTTTCGGGGGGGAATCTCCTCCTTGTCGGCCACTGACTGAAGCGCGAAGAAGTCTCGAGCGAGAGCGCCCTTCCTGAGTTCGGGGGCCTCTCTGGCCAAAGGCTCTCGGAGTACGGAGAAATATGGAACGGGAGCCCTTGTCGCCGTGTCTGGGCCTCCACCAACTCACATGATTTACGGGAGAATCCAGAGCGAGAGCGCGTTCCTGAGTTCGGGAGCCTTCCTGACCAGGGGCTCTCGGAGTAAATCGTGAGGAAGTATCGAGCGAACAGCAGCCCTTGTCGTCGTGGCTGGGCCTCCGCAAACTTAATTGAATTGCGAGGAAATCTCGGGCGAGAGCGCCGTTCCTGAGTTCGGGGGCCTCTCTGGCCAGGGTGTCGCAAAGTACATTGTGAGGAAGTATCGAGCGGGAGCCGTTGTTGTCGTAGCTGGGCCTCCAAGGGCGCACATTCAGGGTCCAGCCAACGATTGAGCGGGAGCCTCGTTTTCAAGGAAATTTAGCCGGCGTCGAGGCGAGAGCGCGCGGAACCGTTTCCCGAGATCAACAACAATTATTCTTTAGAAATGCATATTCAACAACAACAACAATCATTTTGAAACTGTCCGCTCTTATCTGCTCGAATGTCATTCAACGTGCATGTCCCGAACCCTCGCTACCCGCCCTCTTCGTCTTCGATCATATCACTTTTGGTGGGTATATTTTTCTTCGTGAGTTCTGCGTGATTAGCCAGGAAGTTTCCAGCGAGAGAGCGATTCCTAAGTAAATTGGAAAGTCCCCAGCGATCGCGCGATTCCTGAATGGCAAGAGCGCGGCGCCTGAGTAAATTTCGATTGAGTCTCAGGCGGGCGCGCGATTCTTGAGTACATTGCGAGGAAATCTCAAGCGGAAGCGGGGGCCCAGAGTAAATTTCGAGAAAATATCAAGCGAGAGCCGGGGCACAGTTTGAGGAGGAAGACTTGCCCTAATAACAAACAAGGTGCGAGCGCTGGAAGGGGCATTTCAATTGAAAAATAAAATGTGCACCGGAGGGGGGGTCAATAATAACTATGCTTCAATAGTGAGAGTTCAATAACAACAATAACAACAACACTCCGCACCGCAGATGCTCACTTCACCCACGCGCCCAAGGACAGTGAATGACGGTTCGGTCCCCTCACTCTGATCTACTTCTTTTCAGGAGGGCGCACCTTTGCGGCCGACGCCCGGTGGAATTGAAAGATCCCCAAAATATGCCGTGTGCAGCCGTAAGTGAACTGAAGACACATCTTTGCTAGTTTCAGAGTGACGCCGAAGGCCGCCGGCTCAGACCCAATTGAGAACAACGGTCGACACGGGGCATGTCGAACAGCAGCGTCGTCCCAACCCAAGACAGCGCCGATAATGTATATCCACCGCGAAATTCGCCTGCGAAGGCTGCCGTTCAACGTGTGGCAACGACGCGTATTTGGGAGAATTCACATCTCAATCAAATTAACCATAGCTGCCCGTCACTGGAAAGGCCGCCAACAATTAAAACAGGTCGCTTGCCAAAAAAGCCCATGTGTGATTGAAGCCCCTGGCGGGGGGGGGGCAGCAGACAATAACTCCAACCCGCATCCATCAAACGGGTATGCAGGTGGAACCTGCTATGTACCTGGCACCATCGTGACAGCAAGCGCAAACACAAAAACAAACGCACACGCACCAAAAAACATACACCACAACAGTCGGCGACGGGCCAAGGGGAAAGGCAGAGAGGGCCGGCCCTCTCAGAAGGCTCGGAAGGCCTCTGGCCTTCCGAAAACCTTTCCAGGGATTCTCCGAAGGCGTAGATGGATTCTCTGAAGGCCGGAGCGCTTCTGAGAAACCTCGCCGCCTTAGGCTTGCCCCGTTCACATCCCTCCTTGTCGCGCCGCCGAAACACACGCACAGATACTCGCGCACACACGCGGTCCCACAGCGATGCCACAGTGCGGAGGGAGCCGCAGCAGCGAGCGGGCGCGCCGGTCAGGAAGACCGCCAGGCATCTGTGCACACACAAGCACAAGTAGACAGCATGTAAAGATCTTTCGTATGTGCGTTCCCTGCGCGCGCACACAACACACATCAATATGCACACACACACACACACACACACGCACACTCGCTTTGTAAGCCGGCGGCGCAAAGGGATCTCAGGCGAGGTCGGCAGGTGGAAGTGCCATTGCGGATGAACTTAGTCGAACGCGCAATGATGAACACAAACAATCACGGCCATGCCACGCACACACGCGAACATACACACACATGTACGCACGCTCACAATCCATAAGCACAGAGCACACATAACAACATGTAATACCATGCTGCTATCACGCAGTTCCATCTGATCACCCATCCTGCCGTCCACGAGCTTGGCAGCTGCGCACGTCGGCCTCCACGGCGATGCACGCAGTCAATCTGACAACACCCTACACTGGCAGGCTTGTTGCTCGAATTGGACCCGTAACGAACAAGCTGCGGTGTGCGATATAAGCAATTAATACATAAACTTTGATGGAGGTTCACCGACCGCATCGCGCATCGCCATTGACTTTCGCGTTTATGTTTTTGCTCTTCACCTGGGGATGCGCTCTCGTGGTTCGGTGGCGCTCGCGCAGATGAGCTGAACGAGGCTCATCACACGTTCGAGCATTCGGGTAACTATTTCGCAACCGCTCTTGTGCTGAGATTGTGTCGACATCCACGGCTCCCAGGCCAGCGCTCAAAACATGGCATCTGATCACTAACTCACCACAACTATCCTGCGGGAGGGCCTGGAGATCCTGCTCGAGCGTTCTGGATTGCCCTTCCCACCACTGGACTTCCGCCTTCTCAGTCACGTCCTGGGCGTCCACATGCGGCCTTCGCTGTGCGCCTGCAACTGTCAAACACTCCATTCACTTTCCCGTAAAACATTTGACCGTGCTGCCTTTTCCCGATCTTACAAGCTCACCCGGATCTTGCAAACTGCTCCTCCTCCTTCTCCTCCTCCTCATCCTCCTTCTCCTCTGCCTTCGCCCAGCCTTCCTCCCATCATTGCCTTCTCCTCGTCTCTACCTCTGCGTGCCCTTTTGAGGCTCATATCGAACGGACCTCCGGTGAAAGCTCGCCCCTCGGCCACCTCGAAACAGCACGAGTGGCCAGATGGGCCGGCCAGGCTGGTCCGCCTTTCGGACCGAGCCCAGCTGGAAAAGGGCAGAAGGGGAGGAATCGAAGCCCGGGCGCGAACCCCAGGGGGTCTTTCGTTTTCGTGTTAGGTCGGGCATGTCCCCTACAGGCGGATTGTGGGCGAAACAAAACAAATACCAGCAAAATATTCAAAAATGGCAAACAAAATCTAAGAATCGTCCCCTGACTATTTTTGGACCATTTTTGAATATCTCTCCTGTAGTGGGGCAGGCCCGACTTAATTGTTGTGCCGTTCTCGTCTCCCCTCGCTCCGTCTTCGCTCCGCTTCTGCTGCGCAGCGAGATCGGAGCGAAGGTGGCCCACGACATCGCCAAAGCACCACTCCGCTCGCTCCGCTCGCGCTTTGGCTGAAGCAGAGCTGCGAGAGACGGTGTGGGGGGTTGGGGGCAGGGCGCCATGGGTGGAGGGCGGAAGTTGTGGATGCCATGAAAAAGGACACCCTGACAAGCCTATCGTTGCATCAAAGATGTGTCTAAAATGTCGGACACGTGTTCTAAAAATGTTTGAAACATGTTGTTTTACATGTTTGCGGCATGTTTAGAACATCTAGACATCTGGAAACGATTTGGCCACATGCCTCCTCTCCGTTGATCGTCGTCCACAGGGAGGGAGGGCCTGACGGAGGGCGAGAGAGAGAGAGGGCCCGTGGCGCCAGCCGCGCCACCCCGTGGTACCCTTTTGACGCCGCAGGCAAATCTCAATCGTCGGACTGTGCACGCCGAGTCGGCAGGAGAAGATCAAATCCCAGACATGCTCGCGTCGTAAAAAGTCAGGGGGGATTTTTCCCCGTTTTCGGCCTCTGGGGGGCCCTCGCTGGGCCCCGGGACCCTGAAAAAACGACGCAGGGTGAAAAACCTGCCCTGGGGAAAAGGGTCGGGACTTCCGGGGACGCTGTATTGAAAAAATCAGGACGTCGCATGCCTGGGATCATGAAGTTCGGCGGTTGACAAACCTCCCTTCAGTAAACCTCCCCTTAGTCAAAACGGCCTGGAACCCATTCCGACGGACCTGGACCCGCAAAAACGACGGCCGCGACGCCCTCTCGCGAACCGAAAACGGCCAATTCACTAATCGACGTGTCAGGGTAGGAGATCTATCCACCTCCGAGAAGTAGGAATGCGGACAAAGTAGTTTGGGCTCAGGCATTCCCTGGGAAGAACAAGCACACAGCATAAGCACATCGACTCTTGGCATCCGCCAGCCCCCTTGCGGGGCCACCAGAGGCTGTGGAGGCCGAAGTGCGCTGCTCCCTGCACCAGTCGCAGTTCCAGCTATCCGATGTTGCAGTCCTGCTTTTTGCTTCCTAATGTAAACGGTTGAAGTCCGCGCGACGGGGGGGAGCCCCAAACCATCTAATTTGCTACGCCTGGATCGCGTTGCCTGAATTCCTGGGGGTGGGGGGGGCACGTAAAAATAGATGAGACTCGCGCCCCCGAGGACACACTCCCTCGTCAATTACGCCATTCTCGCGTCCCCGAGGCCACAAACCGTCGTACCTTATGCAGGTGTTGCGTTCCCGAGGCAGCAGCCCCGAGTACATCACTCAATGCTCGCGTCCCCGAAGCCATTAACCTTCGCAAGTTACGCCGGATTCCCATTGCCGAGGCCAAAAATGCTCCAAGGCGCCCGAAGATGGTTTCAAGACGGCCCAAGATGGCCCAAAGGGGCCCCAAGAGCGCTCCAAGAAGCTTCCCGAGAGAGCCCCGAGCGGCCCAAATCGTAATTTTTTCGAAACAGGTGTTTGAAGGAGTTTGGCCTTCTCGCATTGTCGGCTTCCCGACGCTCCAAGACGGCTCAAGAAGCTCTCAAGACTGGCCCAAGGCAGCCCAAGACGCCTCCAAGAGGGCCCCAAGACGGCCCAAGAGGGCTCCAAGATGGCCCAAGAAGCGCTCAAGACGGCCCAAGAGGGCCCCAAGACGGCTCCAAGAGGGGCACACGCAGAGGACCACGAACCGAACATTCTATATTTGTGCCCCGAGAACCCCAGAAGGCCCCAAAAGGCCGCCAAGAGGCCCCGAGAGGCCCAAGAGGCCCCAAGAGGCGCCAAGAGGCGCCCGAGAGGCCTCCAAGAGGCCCAGAAGATACCCCACGAGGCCCCAAGAGGCCTCCAAGAGGCGCCCGAACCGCCTCCAAGAGGCCCCCGAGAGGCTCCCCACGGCACCCCAACACATATACAAGAGGCCCCACATCCGCAACCCAGGCACGGTGGCGGGATGGGCCGAAGGCCACTAGGATCCGCCGCCCCCTGTTGATTCATCACAGGGGTGCCTGGCGTGCTGAATCCTCTAGGTTTTGGTTTTGGTTCTTTTTCCAAAAGAACTCCCCCTGGGGCTCCGGCGCGTCCCGCCGGGGTCCCTGGAGGATTGCCACGGACCTCAATTCCCTACTTTTTCTGTCAAGACGGCTCCAAGATGGCCTCCAAGATGCCTCCAAGACGGCCAGGATGGTCTCCAAGACAGCTAAGATGGCTTTCATATGCTTCCAAGACGGCCCAAGAGAGTCCAAGACGGCCCAAGTTCGCCCAAGAGGCCCCCCAGAGACCTCCCAGACGGCCCAAGAGGCCTCCAAGAGGTCCTCCAGGAGGGCCCGAAGAGGCCAAAATAATTGATTTCCTTCGGTTTTAGAAGGTTTTTGGAATTTGCTTCTTCTCGGCATTCCGACGGCTCAAGACGGCCCAAGAGGCCCCCAAGATAGCCCAAGAGGCCCCCAAGAAGGCCCCATGACGGCCCAAGTGGCCTCCAAGACGGTCCCAAGAGGGCCCCAAGACGGCCCAAGAGGCTTCCAACACGCCCAAGATGGCCTCCAAGACGCCCAAGATGGCCTCCAAGACGGCCCCGAAGCGCCCCAAGAGGGCCCCAAGTCGGCCCAGAAAGGCACCCAAGACGGCTCCCCACGGCGTCAGACGTGCCAGGAACCCACCAAGATGGCCGAAGTTGGCTCGAAGCTGGCCCAAGACGGCCCAAGAGGCCCCCAAGAGGGCCTCCAGGAAGGCCAGAAGAGGCCAAAAATATGATTTCCCTAAAGTTTTTGACGGATTTTGACATTTCCTTCTTTTCGGCCTTCCGACGGCCCGAGACGGCCCAAGAGCCCCCAAAGATCGCCGAAAGATCGCCCAAGAGGCCTCCAAGACGGCCAAGATGACCTTCAAGATGCCCACGTGTTCCCCGAAGGCTTTCCAAACCGATTCGGGGAACACATGGTCCGATGGCTTGGCAGGTCTGGCCTCAACGTTCGGCCACATAGGCGCTTCCAAAAAGGCAGGGGGCGGCGGTGGTTCGCCGTGGGCGTCTTCGATCCGCCGCCCCCTGTTGGCTTGCCACAGGGGTGCCCGGCGATTTGGGTTTTGGTTCGTTTCCAAAAGAGCTCCCCCTAGGGCTTCGGCCGATCCCGCCGGGGTCCCAGAAAGGCCCCGCAACCACCTCAACGGCCGTAACAAATTCTCCAAGACGGCTCAAGATGGCCTCTAAGATGGTCACGTTGGCCCGAGATGGCCTCCAAGATGGCGTCCAAGTCGCCAAAGATAGTCCAAGATGGCTTCCAAGACGGCCCGAGAGAGTCCAAGATGCCTTCAAGTTCGTCCAAGAAGCCTCCAAGACGGCCCAAGATGGCTCAAAGATGACCTACGACTGGCCAAGAGGCCCCCAAGAGGCCTCCAAGACGGCCTCCAGGAAAGCCCGAAAGGGCAAACATCATTGATAGTCCTTAGGTTTTTGAAGGGTTTGGGCATTTTCTTCTTATATGCTCTCCGACGGCCCAAGACGGCCCAAGAGGCCCCCAACACCGTCCCAAGAGCGCCCAAGAGGCCTCCAAGATGGCGCCATGACAGCCCAAGATGCCCCCAAGAGGGCCCAAAGAAGAGCCCAAGACGGCCCAAGATGGCCCCGAAGACGCCGAAGATGGCCTCCAAGACGGCCAAGATGGCCTCCAAGATGCCTCCAAGACGGCCAAGAAGGCCTCCAAGACAGCGAAGATCGCCCCCCAATGCACCCAAAACGGCCCCAAATGGCCTGAAGACGGCCTTAGACTGCCCAAGCGGCCCGCAAGAGGCCTCCAAGACGGCCCAAGAGCCCTCCAAGACGTCCTCCAGGAAACCCGAAAGCTTGGAAACCACCTAGCTCGCCCGACTCCGTGTTCCCCGAAGGCCTTCCAAACCGACTCGGGGAACGCGTGGCCCGATAGCTTGGCCAAGCTCAAACCCAGCTGTCGGCCACATAGGCGCTTCCGAAGGGGCAGGGGGCGGCGGTGATTCGCCGTAGGCGTCTTCGATAACGAGTATGCGCTGATGACTCCTATCCGCCCCCACATGATGTTCCCAGATGCGCCAAGGCAGCGCCGAGACGCACCGACGCGACTCTGATACATCCCATTACGGTGAAGAGTGGGCCAGCGGCACGGGGCGAAGCCCTTACGGAGAGGAAGGCGCTAGAAGTAGATCGGGATCTGGGGATCCCAGGAATTCCAACCTTCACAACTGGCGAAAGGCGTTGCTCGTGCAGGAAGAGGAGGACCTGACCCCGACTGAATACAGAGTGGCAACGGATGATGGCAGCGAGCAGGTGCGGAACAGGAGCTGCGAAGACAGTGGGCGAAGGCCCTTGGAACACCTCCCGGCCCTCGCGCTAGGCCCTCAACACCGAAGCAGCTGCTCGACGTG